TAAGAAAATGGCTCATGCAGTTACGAATAAATGGCTCACGCAATTATGGGTGTTAGCAAGTCCCATATCTGTGCGTCAGGTGTCAGACTGAAGACCTCTGCTGGCTCACATGGTTGCAGTGACTGACAAACCCAAAACCTGCAGGTCAGGCAACAGGTTGGCGGCCTCAGCTGGCTCACGGTGTTGTGGGGGTTAGTGAATTCAAAATCTGCAGGTCAGGTGACAGGCTGGAGGCCTCTGCTGTCTTACATTCCAAGAGCCAGAGGTCGGACACCAAGAGGATTGCAAGGTCAAGAGAGAGAGCAAGCTTTGCCAGAACATCCATTCATATACTGGATGCAGGCTACACCCCCAAGGAAACTCTCCTTCCAACTGATTGGCTGCTCACATCAGATCACTAAATTGGAGGTGATTATATAATGTCTGTCAAACCACTAAGAATCACAGCCTAGCCATGTTGACACCTATATAACCATCATAACAGGTAAATTTGAATTACATCTCATAAAGTTGTTATTAACAATTTATTTTTACTGAAATCAAACCTTCTGGAAGTCATGGTATGCTGTGTGTAACACCTTGAAATGTTGAACCATAAGCAATTTTATTAGAAAACAAGACTATGTTATGTAAGAGTATACATATTTACATTAAAATTCATTACTTCACAACCATGTCTACAAAAAAGGAAGCAGTTGAGCTAAGCTTATCAACAGTTTCTAATGTTTGCCTTTGATATTAACGTGCTCTTTGTTTAATTATTTTGTTGCCTACTACTATTTGCTAGCAATTAAGCACTAACAACACCAAAGACTTAAGAAAATTCTGAAAGGAAAGCTTTAAAACTGAGCACATCCTATCTAACACTTTTAATACTTTGATATACTTAGTATCTTCAAGTTAAGACTGCAGGGAAACATCTGGATTTGGAATAACACCAAGGTTTTCCAGGAGGAGCTTTGAAAATCCCTGGCTTTCTAGAAAATGCCCACATTTCTTGACATGTCATAAAAGACTCTTCTTTCAACTTGGCCTTTAACTACCTTTCTATTGTCATCTCTTTTCATACCACCTCACAGCCACTGCACCAAGTAGCTACTACTCTGCAAACACACCCTGCACCCTACGGCTTTGTTTATGCATCTCCTTTTTCCTGAATATCCTTCCCTCCCTTCAAGGCCTATCTAGCTTCCCTTTTATCTTTCCTGACTTCCCCCACGACCTGTCAGTTTATCATACTGTGGTGGCGTGTATGTGGCTGTGATGCTGGAAGCTATGCCACAAGTATTCCAAATACCAGAGGGTTCATCCATGGAGGACAGGTTTCAGGATAGCTTCCAGACTAAGGCAGACTAGGAAAAAAGGCCTGTCATCTACTTCTGAAAATTAGCCAGTGAAAACCTTATGGCCCACAAGAGAACACGGTCTGAGTTGCTTTCTCTACGCACATCACCAGGAGAGATCAATCTCTAGAGGAGGACATGATGTTTGGTAGAGGACCAACGAGGTTGTGGGAGACCTTTGGTGAAATGGACTGGTACAGTAACTACAAAGATGGACTTGAACTTGCCATCAATCGTGAAGATGACATAGGACTTGGTAACTTTTTGTTCTGTTCTACATAGGTCACCGTGTGTCAGAGTCGACTGCGTGGCAGCTATCTCTGTCTCTGACTTCCTCAGTCCAGGGAAGTGCCAGGAAAGCAAAAAGCATGCACCCGTTGAAATCCGTTGCCGTTGAGTCAATTCCAAATCATAGCAACCCTATAGGACAGATTAGAACTACCCCGTAGGATTTCCAAGGAGCAGCAAGACAATTCCAACTCATAGCTACCCTACATATAAGACAGAACAAAATTACCCCGTGGGACTCCCAAGGAGCAGCTGGTGGATTCAAACTGCCGACTTTTGGTTAGCAACCTGAGCTCTTAACCACTGTAGCACCAGAGCTCCAAAAAGCATGTATATCCTACTAAATGTTGTATTTCCAGCAAAACACAGGCCCGGGCACATAGAAATGTTTCAGAAATATCCCCTTTTCTGTATTCTCATAGTCTTGACACATACTTCTCTCCACTTACCTCACTGTGCTGGAATTATTTATTTCCGGTGATCCCATCCTCACAAGCCCCTCCTCCTATGAGTTCTTGTAGGCAGGGATAATGTCTTCTTTATTACACAATAGATGCTCAATAATATCTGCTAAATTTAGATGAATTAAATACCTATTTTCTAATCTCCAGATGCTCAATGCCTTGAGGAAAATTAAATCATGCAAACAATTTAATCAACTACTGTGTGGAAAATCTGTAAGTGTGGTGTGTACACAGTATTATGAGAATTCTATTGAGGGAGCTATACATTCTGGCTTGGAGGTTTTTAATTTTGTAGAACTTCATATAGGCGCTGGCATTTGAGCTATCTCTCAAAGAATAAGGGTAAATTCACCAGTAGAACAAGTAAAAGGGGTTCTAAACTAAATGAATTCAGCACCAAGACAGAAACTGAGAGGGAGGGCCATTAGCACCCCCAACGGGTCTGATATAGCTCCAGTGTAGGGTACATGACAGCAAGTGTCTGGCAGGAGGCTGGAAAAGTAGGCTGGGCCTGGCAGCCCTCCTAGTCTGGACTTTAAGACATGAGTAAGAGAAGAGGGTTACAGGGTCAGATCTGTGCTTTACTCTGCCCTCAATACCCTCTTCTGCCACCCCAGCCTAGCCTGTTGACCAGGTAAGAGTTGTCCAGAGTCATAGGCATGACAAGGCCAGAGGGACATGATCAATTCACATGTGAACCAACTTACAACCCAGGTCTGTGTTCTAACCAGTGAGCAGCCAGCCAACACACACACACACACACACACACACACACACACACACACACACACACACACACAAAACCAAACCCATTGCTGTCCAGTTGGTTTATATAAATCATACACTGAAGTAGAAGCCAAGAATGTGGTAGAACTAACAAAGCTGGTTTTTTTGGAAAGCTAGCATCACTCACTTCAAGAGTCCTATCCTCCCTAAAGCCCTCCCTGATTCTCCCAGCCCAAAGGGATCTCTCTCTCCTTCAAAATCCTCCAGAGCACTTACTTTTGTACTTAGGACACTGAAATTTTTTTCTTGCATTGCAGTTGCTTATCTTCATTCCTGATACCATCTATTTTTTTTTCCTCTTTGCTTTGTTTTTACAAATATATCAAACAGAATGTAACTTTCAAAGACATGTTGGGAGCAAGATAGAGTATAAATCAATTAAACAACAAGTATTGTTAGATTTTAAGTGTCAAGAAGACTGAGACCATGGTCCACTCACCTCTGTAAATCCCACAGCACTAACCAAAAAATATTTGTGGAATAAATTAATGTAGTGATAATAATAGGATAAAGCAAAAACATTCTTTGGCTTTTAAAACAAATTGACACTTCGGTAATCTTTTCCTTGAAAAATCACCTATTTCACAGAGTATTTATATAGATGTCTACCTTGCATTCTCTTAAATGTTCATCTCTTCTAATCATGCCACACTGTCTGTGGTTGTTTGTATCCTTTTTCTTGATTTGATTTGCCAAAGTTATGTCCCTTTTATAGGTCTTTTTGGAAAAAAAGTGGCCCTTAGATTTATTTATCATGTCTACTTTCTTGTTTCCTGGTAGAATAGAGATATATTTATTCCAGCAAAATTATAAAGTAAAATACAAAGAAGCAAAAAAAAATTTGACACTGAAAGACAATTTCTGAAAGAAGAAAGTTAACAGTAATCTGTATATGTGCCATAAATTATAAAGATCTGTTGATATTTTAATGGGGGAAACACAAAAATACTTTTAAAATACAGCATCATTTCCAAAATACATTTCCATAAAGTAATTAGCATTTTTCACTTTCAACGTTGCATTTTTCAGCCCTCTTGGAATCTGCTCTCTGAAATCCTGATGTTCTACTGCAGTTTTATAGAATAGTCATTGTCTCATTTCACTGACCTACAATGACTAGTCACTTCATGACCAGTTAAAAGGAGCACTTTCTGATAGGTATACAGTACTTCAAGGCTAATATTTAATCTTAATTGGCAACAAGTTTAGTGCAAATAAAATTATATTTAACAGCTTAGAAAATTCATGGCTAAGAGTCATTCTCCTCTTAATCCTTACTGCTTCCCCAGAGTGAAATCATTTCTCTCTTTTGATGAGTATTAAGGGTGGCCATTCAAACTTATTGAAAATTACTAATGATAATTCTGTTGTTTGTTACACAGGGAGTTTCTATACTATTAAAAATGATTTCAGTCACTATGCAAATGAGCCACATTTTTTTTATGTTTGGAAATACCCCATGGGGTTAATACAAAAAAGTAGGGCCTAACTATCAATCATTTCTCTAGGGCAGTGGGGTCAAGGTTATAACTGGATCTTACCTAATTGCTTCTCTGATCAGTGGAAAAGAGACACAAAAAAGGTACTAATCATCTTATACTTTAACCACCATGGGTCACACCCAAAGAAAGACTCAGGGACAGGGCTGAGGAATCTTTTAAACCAAATCCTATTCTCCAGCAATAATTTTTATTTTACTGTTTCAAATGCCAAGAAAAAAAAAGAGGAGCCATCTGATTTCAAACCTGGTGCTTTCCACTCTCTACCAAGATTTATTCGCCAAATGAACAGAAGCCAGAGAGCTACTAGCCAAAGCGGATTTTGTTTGAGCTTCGTCAGTTCCTTGAATTAACTCTCTCTCGTTAGACTTCTCTTCCCTCTCTAGCCAAGGCCTGGGATAGCTGCTTTAGGAAACAATGCTGCTTACTGTGGCCAGATCAGTGGTGGCAAGGAAGAAAGAACACCTCCTGATTCTGTCCCTTGCCTAGGTTCCACTAACCCAAGGACTTGAGCCTTAGAGCTTGGATGACCCTTAGGATTTGAATGTGCTCACATAAAATCCAGGGAGGTAACATTGAGCCATCTCACTTGATCTCTCTCTTCACCAACTCCTCAGCAAGTTTTCTATTCCTCAGGAATTCTCTTACTGAGCAGTTCAAGAATGAGGGTGTAGTGACTGCATGTTGGAGAAAGGGCCCACCTCAATCACTATATGCTTCTCTTTCCCTTGGAGTGGAGAATTTTTCATACTGGTTGGCCAATTTCCATTTACTGTGCTGACTTTTGAGTAACGCAGCAAAGGAAGTCTTCCGGGTGACACTTCTAGATACTTCCTGGCTCTTGGCCTTCCTGGTGGGGGAAGAACTTCGGACTAAGGGATAGACAGGGAAAATGGGTTTGCCCCGAGGGGCTCCCAGTAGCTGCCATATTTCCCCAGAGGTATTACTGGTCAGATACTGCCATGGCTTCTTTCCACTGGTGTCCCGGATATTCACTCGAGAAGACAGTCTTTGCACTAGCAATTTGATGACCCCCTGGTGGCCGTGAATGGCTGCAAGGTGCAGCGGGGTGTACCCACAACTGGACCTCACGTTTACATCAAGAGCAATCCCTGCCTTCTGTGCTCCTGAGACCAAATCCTGAAGGGCCCTGAGGTTGCCATGCTTGGCCATCCAGTGCAAGGCAGTGTACCCAGTCAAGAAGTCTTTGTGCAAAGCCAACTGGGGGTCCTCCCAGAACAAGGTCAGTACCTGAATCCAGGAGCCACTGGCAAGCTTTACAATCCATTCATGCTCCCTGGCATCTAGGGGCACCAGGGATGACTTGTGCTCAGGTCTGTGCATGCCCAAGGCTGCAGACCCATCCCTACAGGGGGCCCAAGAGCTGTGTGGCCGACCCCGCTCAGCAACAACAGCCTTAATGTCTGCAGGTTTTGGTGTCAAGGCGGCATCCACCCTTGGGCTGGGCACTGCCCCTGCCTTGGACGGTTTCCTGGAGCGAAGTGGGCGCCGACTCCTTTTTAGCAAGTCTTTATCAAGCATCTCCTCATCAGAAGAGGACAATTTGGCTCTCCCTGTCCGAAAGCTCCTCCTGAGGGATCGCCTTAACTTGGAAGCTGGCCAAGGCAAAAGTTCCTGGGGGTGCCCTGCTAGGCCATTAACCGCTGCTGTGACTTGCTGAGCAGTGCGGCCATTCCCTGTGTTCCTGAGGCCCTGAGGGCTCCTTCTGGGGCCGTCCTTGTTTGGAGATACAGAAATGCCCCCAGCTGGACTTCTGAGCTTTCCCCAAACTGGGGTGCACGGGGCAACTTGCAGGCCGTCTTCAGAACCCCCGGGGGACTCTTTGGGCCCACTGCTGCTCTCCTCGCTGCCATGGCTCTCCTGATCCACAAAGTCATCAAGATCTTGGAGGGACAACTGACAACGGATGCTACGAAAGACTGTCAGTGGAGGGTTCCAGGACCAGGATTCGGAGGACTCATCAGGAACAACAGGAAAGAGAGAGTGAGAGGAAAGAGAGGGGCCTGGTGGCGCTAAGTTCACCTCCGGGACCCAGAAGCTCGGTTCCAAGGACAGCTGGAGGAAGTTGTCTGGCAGTACCGACCAGGCTCGGATGGGGCCCTGGTCCCGGGCCTTGGGTATCTGGGGGTGTCTGGCCACCCACTCTACAGTACGCTGCTGCTGCAGCGTCGAGTAGTGTAGGGCCCCTGGGGCCAGCAGCTCTCGCCCGTCTGAAGGCGGGGAAGGGCGGGACCGGAGAGCTGGCGGGGAAACTCTGCTTCCGGCAGCCTCGACAGTCGCAGGAGGCAAGGGAGTTCCTGCCGGCTCCTGCGCGGGCTCAGCCGGTACGCCTTTCAGCCACTGCCCGGGAGCCCCGCGGTCGTCCTGGGCAGGCCGAGCCCGCGCAGGCTTCTCCCCGGCGGTGGCGGGGTCGGGGAGAGCGCCCTGGTGCGGCTCGCCCGGGAGGCCCCGCGAGCTGTTCTGTAGGCATTCCCAGCAGCAGCGGCCCTGCGTATCTGCCGCCGCGCACCGCTCTCCGGCCCGGGCAGCCGCCGCAGCAGCTGCTGGCCCGGGCGACCTCTGGCTGGAGCTGACCCTCTGCCCGTCGCTTCCCGGGGCCGCCTCCTCGGGGCTCCTGGCCGGGAGTCCATTGCAACAAGCGTCCGTGACTCGCGCTGCAGCACCTGCCGGCTCCTCTTCTCGCTCCTTGTCGCGCCGCCGCCTGGGCTGCGGCTTCGGCTCCCTCCCGGGCGCGCCTCGCGGGGAGTAGGGCGCAGCACCCCCTGCAGGGGCGGCGGCCGTGGGCGGGTCGCCGGGTTGTTGCAGCCCTTCCTCCCCCAAAAGGTCCCTGTACCTCCTCTTAAGCACTACGTACTTGGTGCCGTCGGGGTCCTGGCGCACTGCGGCGACGGAGTTGACAAAGCCCTTGAAGAGCTCCCGGCGGCGCTGGTGCTGGCTGGGGGACGCGTCGGGGTCTCGGAGGAAGCTCTTGAAGTGGCTCAGCAAAGCGGCATTGGTCACTCGGCCCCCGGCCTCGCACAGAAAGTCCAGTAGTGCCTCCTGGCTCAGCTCCCGGGCCATCCCTGCCTCGTCCCTTGTCCCCAGGGTATCTGCGTCTCGGCCTCCAGGCGCTCTCCCCACCAGCAGAAATCCTGGCCTGGCATAAGTCACCTGCGTCCCGGGCGGCGCCACCAGCCTCCATTGGCCGCGAAGGCCGGCGCTGCCTGCAGCCCCGAGCGCGCCAGGAGGGCCGCGGGTCCCCCGAGGGACGGCTCACAGCTCGGTCTCTGCGCGCAGCCGGGGTGGGAGAGGGCGGCTCCCAGGCTGACCTGGAGCGACGCGGACCTCTCGCTGCGAGTGCCTGCAGCGAAAGTTCCTGGGATAGGTCGGAGTCGTTTTCACCTGCGTCCTGACTACGCCTCCTTTCTGACTCTGGAGGAAGGGCCTGGCCTGCTTCCTCAGGTCCCTCCGCCCTCTGAGGTCCCCCCCACCCCCTGCCGCCCATCCCAGTTGAGTCAGGCGGGTCAGAGCCGGAGGGAGCGCCTGTAGGTGAGGTCGGGAGCAAGCGGGAGCCATAGCAAACCGCTCTGCAGGAGGCGCAGCAGCTCCTGCCCGGACAGTGGAAAGCAGGTAGGCAACTGGCCGCTCCGTTGGATCTCGGCCACGTAGGAAACGAAAGCAATCAAAGATCCGTTCCTGCCCTCTCCATGCGCTGCATAAGTTATGACTGAAGTCGGAGACTGGGAGAAGGTATAAATTAACCCACACTCTGCGGACTCTCCACAAGGTGCGTTTCTTTATTAATACCTTGGGGGAGACATTTCGGATTCCCTGAGGCAACACTGAAGTCGGGGGAAACTCACTTTGCATCCAGACCAAGTCTCTTTTGATACGGAGATATTGCCTGGGCTGCTCCTCCGGCACCAGTTCCAAGGAATCCAAAACACGCAAGTCTGTACTGATAATAATCACTCTGAAGGTTATTGGTCAGAAAGGTTTGGGCCTTTCTTATTCCTTCATAATTGTCTCACATTATGGTGGAAGGAAAAAAAGTCTCTGTAAGTTGATTGCCCCAACAGTTAAAATGAACAAGAGTTGTGCCTCAACAGTGAAGATATTTGATACCTAATGTTACTTTGTTTTGATTTACTCTAAGATTTGTGTACAGAAGAGATTTGTACACTCTTTTTGTGTTTGCTTAAGTGGTGAAGGTGTCTTTTTTCTAGGAATGTAAGGATTCCATTACATGTTCAAAATGTTGAGAGTATTACAGACTAATTTGACCCCACACTCTGAACATTAGAATGAACCTCTGAGGGACTGTGGACTTCCCTTATTCGTAGTGCATTTGTAGACTAGCACTGACTTTTTCATGCCTCTTCAAGCCTGGCTTTACTGTTAGTCTTACAGAATTTTTTCTAACAGCTGCTTTCCCCTCTTTTTCATTTTAGCTTTCCACACATTGACCCTATCTTTTATTTAATAATCCTCTGGTCTTTGAGTGGAGATCCTCTTTGTGGCTCTCCTTGTTCCTTATCAGTCCTATTTAAATGCCCAAGATACTTCCATTGTTTTATCTGTTCAACTCCTGTGGCTGGAAGCCCTCCCCCATTCTTTTCTTTAGTTAGCATTCCCATTTCTTTCAGTTGCATGATGTCTTTGCTGTCCTCAGCCCCAACTCTGACACCATGTCTTTTTCTTTTCTTTTCTTGTCAGAATCTTCTTATATCTGTTATTTTTTCCATTATATAAAGTCTCTTTTCTCCTTCACTGTCATTCGCCACTCTTCTTTCCTGTACTCCCCTCATCTTTCCACTATTCCTTCTTTTGCTCTACTACTGATTATTTCACAACTCCTTGTCCTTTTTGCCAAGGAAGAATATTGCAAGTATGCTGCCGTCACAATTGTCAACATATTTTAGCATGGACCAAACTTAGTGACTGCCACATAAGCCACATCAGCTGGACTTTAAGTTCCCAAGAGTACCCAGTTACATTTCCATGAATGAACTGGAATCCTTGGCTTTAAATTGTCTAGTCAGAAAGGACTGGGAAATGTTTTTGTCTGTTTTTGACATTTTCTAGAATGCAAACCAAAAACTGAGCTAAGAGGAAGACAGTGGTTTTATGTAGAGAAAACCAAAACCAAACCTGTTGCTGTCGAATCAATTCCAGCTCATAGTAAGTCACTATGAGTGATGTAGAGACACTAGACTCTACATAATACCAAGCCTTTAGGTTAATTGTTAAAATAAAGATTTATATTAAACTTGTATTAAAAGAACTACAGCCAGAATGCTCCTTAGAAGCAAGGACGGTGAGACTTCATCTCACATACTTTGGACATGTTATCAGGAGGGATCAGTCCCAGGAGAAGGACATCATACCTGGTAAAGTAGAGGGTCAGCGAAAAAGAGCAAGACCCTCAACGAGATGGATTGGCACAGTAGCTGCAACAATGGGCTCAAGCATATGATTGTGAGGATGGCACAGGACTGGGCAGTGTTTCGTTCTGTTGTACATAGGTAGGGTCGCTATGAGTCGGAACCAACTCCATGGCACCTAACGACAACAAAAATTAACCTTTAGCTTCCTTTTGTGTTTATTTCCTAGCATTGAGTCTTCATGAGACTGAGAGGTGTGTCCATGTAGCAGGCAGGAAGGCATGAGGTGGAAAACTCAGGTGTGCATTTTGGAGCTGTAAGTGGAAAGAATCTCTCTGGTACTTTTGAAACCTCTGGTTACAAAATAGAGGACTTGTCACAAGAGGGGGGTGATGAGACAGAGATTTGGACTTGAAGCACTTAGAAGGACTAAGGAAAAAGGAAGGGGAGGTCATCAAGGCTGTGGTTTTTGAGATCAGATTATCTTTAATTGAGGGTGGAATTAGTAGTTTTTTAGGAGTAGAAAGTAGGGAAACAGAAGGAAAAAATTCCAACCACCTTAGATTTCTGGGTGCCCAGAGTGCCTTAGCATCCAGACCTTTTCTCCTTCTTTTTCTCTCTTGTCCCCAGGTTAAGGGGATAGTTAATTAGAATGCTCTTCACCTTATCCCAGGAAGCATTTTCCTGCTTCCCTCAATATGCAGTTCATTATTTCCAAAAATATTTATGCAGCATCTATGTTGCCCTAGGAGTCCCTGGATAGAGCAAACAGGCGCTCAGCTACTAACCGAAAGGTTGGCAGTTCATACCCATCCAGAGATGCCTCGGAAGAAGGCCTGGTGATCTGCTTCCGAAAGGTCACAACTATGAAAACCCTATGGAGCACAGTTCTCGGAAATTCATGGGGTCACCATAAGTTATAATCGACTCAACAGCAGCTGGTTTTCTGTTGTCCTGGCATTGTTGGAAATGGGTGTAAACAAGAAAGAGTGCTCAAGGAACTCACTATTTATTGGGAGCAGTAGACAAGAGAAATTGCATGAGCCTGTGTACTAAGTAGTTTAACAGACGCATGCACCTCACGCTGAGAATGCTGAGGGGAGGTGCATAAAGGAAGGTCTCAGCTTGGGGGATCAGGGAGAATTTCCAGTGAGAGGCAACTTTGAGTAGAAAAGGCAAGAAGAGCCTCTAAGGCAGAGGAAACATCGTTGCAAACCCACAGAGATCTGGCTCAGCATAGCACGTTTAGGGAACTAACTGCAAACAGATTTGTTTGGCTTTAAGGAAAAAGATGAGCGGATGTGCTGGAGACTGCCAAAGTGGGTGAGAGAAGATGAAGGGCTTGTGGACAGGGTGTAACTAGGGCAATCAGTGCCCAGGCTCAATCTCTAAGTTGTGCCCCCATCCCCCAATTTCGAGATGAATAGACATTGAAGCCTTTTTATTAATGTTCTAGGGTATTAAAAATACTTTTTCCTTACTTGTATTTTCTTTATATTTTTCCTAAAACACTTGATAAATGATTATTTACGAAAATATTTAACAAGAAGTGGTACCCCGACTGTTGGTTTGTTGGTCACTTTTCTGCTGTAGAAAGTTTAATGTATTTATTTTGTTTTTTTTCCTAGATAGTACTAGATCACCCTGCCTTGCTCTAAGTATATTTATAAAATACTTTACTTACTTGATTACTTGGAAACTTGCGGAAGCAGGAGACAAGACGGAGATATGTATCTCAGTGTCGACACACTTCCTTGCAGGTTATGCTTCAAGACCACTGAACGTGGGAACATGCTGATGTGACGAATATTAAGCCCTTCTGACCCGTGTATAAGGGATAGTGGCAAGTGTCAGCAAAAACACCTTCCCACCTCTTGTGCAGCTGCCTCAGTCAGTTGCCTTTTATATTTGTGGTGCCTCAGAACATCATTCTGCCCCTCGTCAGGGACACATGTGTCTGGCGTCCCCTTGGATTTGCGCTCCTTCGCTCCACCTCTGCTTGTGGAGAGCCTTTGAAGAATTTTGGGGAGGAAAGTGACCTGACCAGATTTATACTTTAGAAAGATCATCCTGGAGGTAAGTACTGGTTTGGAATCATGACCGATCTTAATGAATAAAAAGCACATTGCAGAATAGTATTGTATTTAACCAAATCTAAGGCACCACTGGAGGAATCCCTGGGTAGCACAAACAGTTAAGTGCTTGACTACTAGCCAAAAGACTGGCAGTTGAAACCCTCCTAGAGGAGTTTCTGAAGACAGGCCTGGTGTTCTGTTTCCAAAAGGTCACAGCCTTGAAAACCCTATTGTCTCAGTCATCTAGTATTGCTCTAACAGAAATACCACAAGTGGATGGTTTTAACAAAGAGAAATTTATTCTCTCACAGTCCAGTAGGCTGCAAGTCCAAATTCAGGGCATCAGATCCAGGAGAAGGCTTTCTCTCTCTGTTGGCGCTGGAGAAAGGTCCTTGTGATGCATCAGTCTTCCCTTGGTCTGGGAGCTTCTCTGTGCAGGAACCTCAGGTCCAAAGGACAAGCTCTGCTCCCTGCACTGCTTTCTTGGTGGTATGAAGTTCCCATGTGTCTCTGCTTGCTTCTCTCTTTTATATCTCAAAAGAGATTGCATTAAGACACTATCTAATCTTGTCAACCTCATCAGTATAACCTCATCACAGTGACAGAATTTACAACACATAAT